AATAACGAGTTGTCTCTACTGATTGACATCTATACTGTGGTGGTACGCTGCGATTGGCGGTACCAGCGTACCAGGCGCACCTTTGGTTGCCTAGCTGTTCGGCGTCAAGAAGTCTACAACACTTCCCCCATACTTCATAATGCAATTTTCGGAGTTCTACGTAACCTGGAGGTAGTTAGAGACTCCTGTGGTACGAAGACTAGTTTAACTAGATCTAGACTTCTTATGATCTTTGTTCTAAAAGAAACTGTGAAGCTGATAGACAAAAGTACTACACTGTGGTGTCCTGATTTGAAAACGAAATTTCACACTAAGAAAAGGAAACAACCCCAGGAAAATCCCATTTGAAAAACAAAAATCATTTTAATAATGTACTCTGGTAATTAGAGAAGGTAAGAGGACATGGAATGCCAGGCATGTCAAATTTGTTACTTGTTGTTTTTGTGCGTCACAGTCTAGTCATGTGTTGAATTTTAACATAATACAAACTCCGCACAGCCTCCGCGAGTATAATTAGTAAATATAGAATAATTTATTAACTAAATACTTGTTTTCAAATCGTAAGTGAAGTCTAAGTTACTGTCGGAAATGTAGACAACATTTCGATTAACAAGAGATGTAAATTTACACCTGCATAATTTCAGTCAGTCAATCGCACAATTGCAACGAATACATTCGCAGTACAATCTTATCACATGAAAGAGGTCCGATATATTGCTTCGATTTTCGAATTCCTTTTTGACACGTAACATAATAAGAGTAAGAGATATATATCTAACTCAACTTGATGATAATGATACATGTGTTAATTTAGAAACACGCCGCAGAAATCCACTTATTTAGGTTTCACTTCTTGATTCTAGTAACGTCGGGATGATTTTTCTTAAGATATAATTCACATTTTATAACTTCTCGTCCGACATTTTAAAATTGTACATTTGTAAATAAGTTTTTCGCATTTCATTCAGTAATACACTAGATTTATGCACTTCAAACAACAAATAATATCTGGTTATGAGATGCGAAAAAATAGTATACGCGCCTCGATAGAAAAGTCTTTTCACAATTCGTATGGTTTTTAAGTTACTCGTTCGCTTCGCTCACTCGTACTCAAACGAACCATACTCGTTTGGTAAAACTTCACTTTTCTATACTTGGCACGTAATGTACTATTTCGGTGTTGTTTGGGCAATATTAAACCAGGTCGATGGATAAAATTACTCCTGATATAATATATGATTAACAAATTCCTTAAAAAGCATAGAAATCTTCAAGTGCTATATTTAGGCTCCGGGTGACGGTAACGGGAGTTCTTCCGGTTGGTGTCACCGAGCGTCAGTTGCGGTTGGCAATACGATTGGTGTAAGCGGATTCGTGAGTTACGCAATCTTCGGGCAAAATGGAGTGTATCGTAACAAGTTTTCTTGTTATTAGGGCTGTAGTCTGTTATGACTTTTGCTAAATTTTAGTTTCGGTTTCGTAAGTAGGGTACCCGGACAGACGTGACCGGCATTACGAGAGCATAGGGATGTTGCTATTTGGCAGATTTCGCTCGTTGAGGTGTGGTATGACGTAAGGTATAAAAAGGGAGGTAGGCAGTCACTTCGGCTAAGGTTGCTAACCCCATTGTTATGTTTATAAATTTGAGGTTCCAGAATAGTTCAAACTATATATTCTTCCCACTTTGGGGGTAACCAGTTGGAGCTATTCACCTCTTTCATTCGTTGCATATTATTGGTAGTCGACGATTTATTTAAAATACCTATCCTTATTTTTTTAATTTGTATTGATGTTGTTTAAACTCCATATTCATCTTAATATTTATTAAAGTAAAAAACTTTAGAGTTTAAATGATTTATTAATAGGCACTGCCACACGTGTTTCGGTACAAGAGTTTCTCTTCTGCCCGAAGAGGGTACTGTGTACCGAAATACGTGTAGCAGTACCTACTAATAAATCATTTAACCTGTTTAAAGTTATTTTATTTTAATGTTAAGATTGATACCTATCTTTGGGCTCAATGATTTTCATACCTGGTTAAGTAACAACTTATAAATATTGAACTTAAATAATGTAACTGCCAAATCGTCCGCCATTTTATCGAACTATTGGAAAGGTAAAGATAAATTCTATTGTATGTACGCATTTAAACTTCGCGTATTGATGACGTCATAAGTTACTCGGTGGAGACAAGTTTATTCAAATGGTTTATTTCAGTTCTACCAACAGGGGCGGCTTGTCCTATGAGGCAGGTGAGGCAGTGCCTCACCATTGAATTTTACGCCTTATTAGGATTTTTACTATTTTTTAACGACACATTTCGGCCAATAATTTGTGTCTTTTTTCTAAAATTTTAAAAATAAATATTGAAAATAATATTCTTATTTTTATCTCAGTAGGTAATCGTTGCTCCCTTAATTAAACAGCGCGCTGAAACACTCGACACAACATGTATTTTGTGACGCGAATGAGGCAAACTCGAAGCTTGCCTCTACAGCAAATGAATTGCTAACTGCAGAAAGGGGACATGTCCCATTTTTTACCACAATAACATTCCTACATAATCGTGTTCTAGAGGTCTAAACACATCTTTACTGCAAAAACGGGCCATGTTTAATGATTTAGCTCGGGGCTACAAGCGGATGAAATTTACGGTTACATCAGAAAAGGGATATGTCCAGGAGATATCGACTTTCTGCAGTAAACACCGTGGTCTCAACGTCTTAAAGACTAAGAGCTGAAAGATTCTACACAGTACCTGAATACATTCAAATAATCTCTGCAGCATCAAAGAATCCTCAGAAATTTTCAATTGTTGAGATTTCTAGAGATATGATTTATGATTTTAAAAGCTGGTGGTCAAGATTTTACAAAAAGACATGCCTAAGTAATGAGTCTTACGGGAAGCGCGTACCACGCAGTCAGAAAAAGTCATTTGCGATTGCTTCTTTTCATCAGATAACTATTTCCTCACCTAGCGAAGTTGTTTGTCGAGAGCTGATAAACGGTTTACTCACAGACACTTTTAGATTGAGAAATACAGAAAAGAATTTGGCTTTTCCTACAACACAAGCGTATCCCGAAAAACTAGCCATCAGCCAGAAGAAAATGACGGATATAACAAACACTTTACGATTTATCCCAGACGCTTATAACGCATTTTGGCAGGAGATTGCTACTTGGCCAACTGTAGAACAGGAGCGCGATAATGATTAAGTTTTTTAGTCAGATATACATATAACATGTTTGTGTAAAATTATAACTGAAATAAAGCTGTTTTTTGTGTTTTTTTTACCTTTTTTTTCATTTTACTGCAAAAAGGGGATATGTCCAAGTGTCAAATTTGACAGCCAAATTGACCCAAAAAAGAAAACATGCATTTAACCAACACTCGTTGATAACTGAGAACATAGAGAACCGACAATTGAAAACGGGGATCGGAAACAAGTAGTTGTAAAAATCTGAGACGTTTTATTCATTTCCTCAACATTTTGAAAAATGTGATATATCCCCTTTCTGCAGTTAGCAATTCAAATATAGAAATCATATCGTTAATGGGCAAGCAACCTGCAATACACTCATAAGCGGTATGAGTTGAAAAAAGACAAAATTGAGGCTAGCCTCATTTCCGTGCTTGCAAAAGGACAACAATATTTGCGCGCGGAGAACGTGTGATTACAATGCAGTCTGCATTTGCAGAAGTATTCAAAATTAGGCCGTTGATTGTTTTGCCACAAATCTGTGTGTCTATAAATTGATTCAAAATTTCGGTAACAGAATTTTGTCTTAAAAGTGCTTACGTTTGCGTGTGTCGCGTTAGTGCTTTGTGCTTGTCATAATTTGATTTCGGTAATCGTTATTTAAGATTACGAGTAAATCGGAATTTTTCTCTACTAACGTTAAATGACAATAGCAGTTCTGTTTTTTCTACTTTCACGTATGATGATAAATTGTATGTAGTTAAGGAATTAAAACGGCCGGTTCCTGATTTGAGTAAATCGTTAATTGATCTATAAAAAAGTTTAAAATAAATCCAGAGTATTTATGTTTTATATGTTTTTCGTTTTGTTTTTTGTTATAACTCAAATTAGGTTTATTTTATGTTGTATTTGATTTTTTTCGATATGTTTTCTTTAAAGTTTATTTTAATTTTGTTTTTTTTTAAGTTATATTAGTTTTTTCTGACCACGTTTCCCTTTCATTTTGTCCTGTCATTCCCATCCTTTCGTTACAAGAGTTCCTTACACCTTCACGTTGGTCCTTGGTGGACCGTTAAATGAGTTCACAAATTTGTTTATTTGACTAAGTAGAAAATATTTAAGTAATCTTGATTTATTTATATTTTGGAGCGTATTGTGCTTTGCCTCATCAACTGTTCAAGTCATGAGACGCCCCTGTCTACCAACCTTGATTTAAAATATTCACGCACTTTATCATTTATCCTCAGTGGATTAGGTACTTTTGTTATTCAAAAAATCGAAATATCATTTTGGACGTAAGACTGTTACCTTATTATTCCTGAGTATTCTGCATTACTTGAACGGTCAAAGAGACAGACCTTCTAGCGATGGTTTCGGTTTTAAAAGTGCTCCAAAGAGGTTGTTACGTTTGTGTTTTTGTGAAAACCACAAAACTTGACTTTATGAAATCATAAACTCCAGTTTCACACAGAAGATGGTACATTTGTAACTAACTCATAGTATTATGGTGTGTGTGTGTTTACATTAGCCTTTTCGACATCCACATGTGGCAATGAACCTACCTGTTTGTTTTTCCATGTTTACCGCTATATGCCCACTGTTTTGTGGGTAATTGAATTTTAAGGTTATGTACCATAAGGTTTTATTATTTATTTATATTGGCGGTTTTAATTTGTGGGGTTACGTGCGTCAATGTTGTTTTTAATTTTTAATACTCTTTAACTGTCTTCGAACGAGATTTGGGTAAGAAGACGGTCAATTTTCTTCTATAGTGTGATAAAATGGTTTTAGGTTGCCAAAATGTCAGCTCTGGAATACTGTGAAACGTTCGCAACACGTGGGAAGTCTTCATGGAAAAATGTTCACAGATGTAAATTATGCCCCTATTTTACAACCGCTGTTTTCCTTATGATCAACCACGTCAGACGACACCGTTTCCCTCTGGAAAAATTGACTTGCGACAACGTCAAAATTGAAGCTTATTTTTGTAAAAATTGCGATTTTAAGACGGAACTAACAGTTTTGTTCAAAGAACACATTATTAAATATCATGGGGTTAAGAAGGAATCTAGAGACGATTTATTAAGTGAGGACTTCTGCATACAAACCTATGTTTGCGAAAAATGCGACTTTGAAACAAATTTCTCATTAAAGTGGATGCAGCATATTTCAGCGTGCACGAAAAAGAAAGAATATCCTCAAAGTGTGACTTCTCCGTCACAGAATGACACATACACTTTCAATTTCAAACGAACTGACGAAACAAATTGGTACTACTGTGTGCAATGTTCCTACAAAGCTAAACTCAAAGGTACTTTAAAATCTCATATTATGACAAAACACGAGATGAATAAGCGATATGCATGCGAAAAGTGTCCATTTAAATGTTCTCGGAAATTTACGTTAAAGATACACATAAATCGAATTCACTTAGATGAACAAGATGTTGAATGGCACAAATGCAACAATTGTCCATTCAAGGCCAAAGCAAAATGTGATTTAGTTCGCCATGTAAAAAGACGTCACTTGAACGACGAAGACGTTAGATGGTATAAATGCAATGAGTGTCCTTTCAAAACTACACAGAAATATTATCTAAAGAAACACGCAATTAGAAAACATCTAGACGAAGAAAAAATTAACTGGCACGAATGTGAGAAATGCGCATATAAAACTAAAAATGCGTCGGATTTAAAAAGGCATAAGATTTTTAGACATTTGGATGAAGAAAACGTTAAGTGGTATCAATGTGTTCATTGTCCATTTAAGACGAAATTAAATGCTACTTTAAAATGCCATATAAATTACCGCCATTTGGACGAAACTGAAATTAAATGGTACAAATGCAATAATTGTTCTTTCAGAACGAAATATAAACATTGTCTAAAGACACACACAATTACAAAACATCTCAACGAAGAAAAAATTAATTGGCACGAATGTGAAAAATGCTCATATAAAACTAAATATGCATCGGATTTAAAAAGGCATACGATTTTGAGACATTTGGATGAAGAAAACGTTAAGTGGTATCAATGTGTTCATTGTCCATTTAAGACGAAATTCAATGCTACTTTAAAGTGCCATATAAATAGGCGCCATTTGGATGAAACTGAAGCTAAATGGTACAAATGCGAACACTGCCCTTACAAAAGTAAAAATCATTCATCTTTTTATAAGCACAGAAGGAAACATATGGGTTTAATTGACGATAAGCCGGAAATGAAGTATTAAGTTTAATTTATAGTAGTTCTTTAACCATTGGTTCAATTCTCTACAATGTACTATATTATGTGACTTGATTTTTTCAATAAAATCATAAATTAAAGTTCTAGTTTTGTTATATTAAATATATATAACGCCTCTAAAAAATAAAAATACCTGCATTATTAGAATTTTTGCAAACATTGTGAAAAACTTATTTTGGCAGATTGGGAAAAATATATGGGAAATCTTTGGTACTTGAAAATGACGGTGATGAAACAGATTTTCATAGCGAAATAATGGAAATGGAGTGAATTGCATCTTTCGTTCTAAATTTACCTAGGTAGTACAAAAGTAAAAATTATTCATCTTTTTATTCGCACAGAAAGAAACATATTGGGATTTAATTAATTACAATTACAAAATAAGGAATTCTCATAAAATTTATTATTGTTTCAATTTAGGATCTAAATATCTTGGGTCTCTCGAGGAACACAGAAGGTGGAGGACCTTGTTGACTAGTTGCATTAGAAACGCAGCGAGGTTGACTGGTATGCTGTTAAGGTACTCTTAATGCGTTGTAAATGGGCATCATGTGGACACCCTTCTTCTGATGTCATGGTTGTGTTCGTTGTTTTTTGTTCGTTCACGCAGATATATCCTTCGCTGTGTTGTTTCTTCAGATCAGACTGTTTTTTTTTTCTTCTTCAATGATATCGTGAGTCTGGACCAGGTGTATTCTTTATTTAGTTTTTATCGTTTATGTATTTTTGGTGGAGTCAAATTTGCCGCCATCGGACTAGAGTATCTGGATCTAACCGGTAGTGTTGTTGTTCTTCTAAAGATCAGTGGATTGTGTTTTGATTTTTATGTACTTCCCCCGATTTGAATTGGTTTCTGGTCGACCGGTTTTTCTAATTTTCTGTCTTGACTTTGCTTTCTTTGAGGCTGGAAATTACTCCTTCAATTGTTCTGTAGTTTGTGCTTTGTATCTAAGACGATTGATACATTTGAATATTAGAAATTTGAAAGTATTTTTCCCATTCAGAATTCAAATTTTCTTCTGATATTTGCTGGTGCATCCAGCTCGGTTCTCTTTATATGTATAACTGAGTTTGATGAGCATCCAAACAAATTAATTTGATCAAGTGATCCTTATTTCATAAAATTATTGGAACTCTTGAGTGTACGCAAGAAGCCATAGTTTCAATTTTCACTTACACGAAGTTATCCATCTTTGTCTATAATAGACATAAAAATGACAGTTTGTTCGACTTTTTATTTACCTTTTTTTTCGTAGTGTACTGAAGTCTTATGTCTTGAACACGTCTTCTTGTATGTGTATTAAAATTTGCTTGGTTTCTTTTCATGACTATTGTGCAACTTATGTTTTTTGTATCGGCATGACGCGAACTGTTTTCGTGAGCGAGGAATATCTTGTTCTCACTTTGACTGCCCGAGTTTGATTAAATAATTTCACTTCTTCGGATAACCGCGGTAACTGGTTGTTGTATACGTCCCATTTTGCAGCCAATCCAGGTCCTTGGCATCAAATTTTCTGTTCTCTTAGTTTCGATTGTTCTGTTTCGCTGGAATGGTTTTTTCGTGGTTTTCTTAGCATAATTTTTCATTATTGAGGATTTGTCGCGAAGCTGGCGTCTCTTTGATTTTCCCCAATTTTGTAGTTTGCTGATCATCTATTTTTGGGATCATACTTTTGATATTTTCCCGCGCCTAGTAATACATTAGTTGCACCCTTTTTTGGAAGACTGGATCCTCTTGATGCAAGTCGGCCTCACCGGAAGATGGATTTCGATGTCTTCTAACACAGATTGTGTAATTTTTGGTAGTACTAACAGTTCTATTTTGAGTGTAAAATCACTCGGAAATCTTGGACTGCATTCTACAATTATTTTAGACTGCGTTTTTTTGGTGTTGCATCTTTCCAGCTTTTCCTGGGGCATTGTTAGAGCTGCTTGGGCATTATTATTCATTGCTTGACCTTTTCGTACTTAATTTCATTCACCTGTTGGCCACAAAATACCTAAAATAAAAGTGTTCCCTTTAACTTAAATATCTAGCATTAAATTTATAATATTTTTAAGTAAAATAAGTTTCTTGAATAATATACAGCTTGGTTCACGGATCTTGCCATTGTATTACTAGCTGTGCTTTCAAGTTGGTTTGTAGTCAATAAATACGGTTTTCCTGGAAAACGGATTCCTGAAAAATAAAAACGTTGGTTCATGAAAATGAACTGGGCAACCGACAGGGATAAATGAGGATATTTCTTGAATAGGGTAGTAATATAAATTTTACGGCAGGTAAATCCGAATTTTGTCATACACACAATAGACAGGGAAAACCATTGTTGCAGTTATAGCACTTTAGCCATGAAACTAAAATTTACATTTTAGAAAGCTGCAGATGTGTAAAAACTAAAATTTATTTCAAATTAAAAAGAAACCCTTTAGGCTAGATAAATTTGATTTTAGGACAAAATAGGCGAAAAACCATGATTTAGGCCTTTAAAACTCAAAATAGGCAATTAGCTAAAATAAAACATAGCTAGATCGTTTTGTTTTGTCGAGAAACATAAATTTTTGCATATTTTTAGTTTCCTTGAATCAAAACAATGCATATTTTTCAATTTTATTGCACATTTACCAATTAAGTGCATATTTAGGCAAATTTTTGTAAAAGTTTCAAATCGTACTCCAATTCAAAAATACCAGGACATTTCGGTAGAATTCTTACTTAGAACAACCAGTAGTTAAGACATCCTAATCCGAACTGGAGACATTCCATTTATTGGCATATTGAATAGGCCGTACCCTGCTTAAAATTATCTTAATTTTCCGTTATGTAACTCTTTAGGTAGCATCTTTCTAGCACTTACTCATTTTGTCATTTAGTCATTTCAAGCTTAATTTTGTCAATCCGTATTTTAGTGCTGCATGGCAAGTGAACTTCAAATCCAAAATGCCAAAAGTTTTTACAAATGTCACGGCTGGATAAAAAAGTAGCCTGAACTAGTGTTAATTAGATAAAAATTCTCAATATTGTTACAAAATAAACCCATACGCCACCCCGGTACGACACCTATGGACCGTCGAGAACTTTCTAGGATGGGCAACAATGACGGGTGACGCATCGTTGGTGCGCGGCTCAGCGACGTTTGAAAAGGCTGGTAGCGGAAGTCGCGAATACCTAATTCAAGAAAGACCTCGATCGCCGAAGTATGGGTTTAAACAGAGGCCGCCTTCGGAAACGATTATTATTCAGTCAGCGAGTCCAGTCAGCAAGTCCAGTCGAGTGAACCACGAAGTTATTCTGTATTCAATCGCTGTAATAGTTAGTCGTGCAATTCGAGTTATTAAGAAATAAATTGCTGAGTTTTACCCACGCCGATTTTATTCACCGATCAACGTAACTATATGTATTTTGCAGAGTGTGTTGAAAAAAGGTAAGTAAGGTATCCAAATTTTTATCATTGTTATATTTTTGAATTTGTCACATTTATTTTTCTTAGTTCCAATTTCAAACAATTGGTTTAATTTGTTGATATGTTATCGCTTTCAATTAAACACGCTAAGCTGAAGAATTCTACTAATGTAAAGTCACAAAGTCTGCTCGCAGAATCTTTCTCCAACATCCAGAAGACGACAGCTTATCAAGAATATTGTTTATTTTAGATTATTTCTTAAAAAAATACCATGAAGTCAGTTCCCGATGAAAGTACATTAAGAGAAAACAACTTAGACAAAGTGTTTCAAAAAGAAAGCAGATTATTCTTCAAATTATAGGCGATAATTTATTTTTATGTCTATGAAACAACCGATTCATATGGACGTTATGCCGCAGATTTGTTAATTACAACTTTGACCAATAAAAAATGTGGTACTTAACATTTGATTAGCACAAAAGCTTTGGAAAAGACAAATAATATCACGATTGCAAGGTTGATTCATGAAGGTTTAACGAACTTTTTTCCTCGCTTATTCCATATTACGGAAAACATGCGTAGCTCATGATGTATATAGAGTGGCTGAGGAAATTAGAAATTTGTTTTCAATAGTAAATGATTTAGTCAATAATGCTAAAAAAATGTCACAAAACATAACATCAACATAACGTCTCTATTCCAATTTCCGCTTCAAGCAACTATAACGTCGACATAACAGTGATTCAACTTTGTTATACTTTTGTTATATTTTCGCCATATGTTGCAAGATTGTGGATGTTATATAACAATCATCATTTTAAATTGGACTACTCGTTTTGCTTAATTTTATTTTAGTTGAAACACCTTGCTTGATATCTGATTTTATTTGTTGGAAAGAAATTTTCTTTGTATTCAACATTCATTTCATGAAACCCCGTTTTTCACTTGGAATCTCTGGCGTAATTTCTGCCTTGACGTTTAAGGCCGTATAAAACACACCGTCCATGTTTTCTTCGAAACAAACTTTTCGATGCAGTGACACCCATTGGTTAGCCCTTATTAGGGTACTGGGCGAATACTGGGTGCAAAGTAAATGTGCTGCGCCACGTGGCAGAGGTAAAAGTAGATAGCGGTTGCAGACGAGTGTTATGAGGATCCATAAGACATAATTTAAGTCAGTCAGTGTATTAATGCAACTTAAAGAGTACGAGTACATGCGCAGTTCAATATTATCACTAAAGCGATGTCCACTATATTGCTTTGTCGTTTTGATTTCCGAATTTCTTGAGGCTACTTAATAATATAGGAGTAGTAACTATGTATATGGTTCTAACACAATTTCGTGTCAATGATGCAAAGGTTAATTTAGAAACACTCGGCAGAAAATTACTTGTTTCGATTTAATGTATTCTAGTAACAATATCCAACGTCAGGATGATTTTTCTTAAGTTCTTATTGAGATTTTGTGATTCTCATTGGAGATTTTAAAATTCTAGGTTTGTAAATCGTTTTTAGAAATGGATTGAACCAAGCGGACGGATAAAATGACTAGCGATATAATAATAACTGATTCACATATTCGTTA